AAATGATCGGCGCCTGCTTGCACTTCCCAAAAAATGAAATGATAAAAAAAGTCATGCACAAAAAGATCAAATCTGATATTGTAATCAAATTCCCCTTTTTTCATAATGATGCTAAAACCACGGAAGTTGTTTGGGTTCCGTGCAGGATAATGAAGTTAAAGCTAATGCAGCTTTCTAGATGGTTTTAACATTGGGTCGCTAACTTAAGATTTCAATGAGTTCCCAAGTAAAACCGCGTTCATATTGGAATACCCCATGCCTGTGTCATGAAAATGAAGTAAGCAAGAGTGGTATTCAATCCTTTCTCTCGCAGGGTCAGCGCAGTTACTATGTATCTAGTTTCCTCCGTAAAATGTTCAGAACCAGTCTTCTTTCTTTGACGCCACGCCAAACGTACTAAAATGGTAAGATGTGAACCTAGTGAAACCGCCCTCATAAATTGCACTGATGATGAATTAGAAATGGCAGATATTTGATATTTTCTCAGGCTTTCCAGTGATTGTTAGTCAATATGTAGACCGTCCATTTTCTTTCTTCAATTCAATTTTATTTATTCATCATTCAGCAGTGTAAAAACACATATAACAGTCATGAATACACAAATTGGCAAAAATTAGATGAAAAGATACTCCCCAAAATAGCAGAAGGCTTGTAAAACAAAAGGCATCTAAACATATATGAAAATGAAAGCAAGGGGGATACATACAAAATATAAACATTAAATACCCTATTCTTCTTCTTCTTCTCTTTTCTTTTTCCTCAATTCTATTCATTAACTTTCTTTGGCAAGACATTAATCCATAATAGCCACTCTCCATCCAGGTGTAAATGGGAACCAGGCATTTGTCGTGGTAATAATAATTGCAGAGCCTCCAGGGAGAACAGCATTGAAGCTGATGAGGCGTCCTTCGGTAAACAAAATTATTATCATTATTATAACTACTCTATTTTGTCTATACCTTTTATTTTTATGTTTCTCTTATGATTATAAACACAACGATATAGTTTCCCATATATTATATTACGTATTTTTTCCAATGTGTTAAAGGTAAAGACCAGTATTGGAAACGCCCCAATTTCAAAAAATGAAATGGAAGCTCTCATTACCAATCATGTGAAAGAATATGTTTTGACCAATACATGATGATAACAAATTTGCCGGGAAACCGCCTACTAATTCATATATTTGGTAAATTTGTTTCTCTCATGGTCTGTGAGAGATATAGGGTAGTCCCATATACATCTTTCTGTGTATAGTGCTTGTAACTTTACGAAGAATGGGCCAAATTTCTTATCATTTTGATGATTCCAGAACCTTGCAGATGCTAGATGATCAACCTTTTCTGATCGATTCCACAACGTTTCTTTCACAATGCAATCGCATGACCATAACTGGTCTTTACCTTTAAATAAACAGAGGGAAAATACCAACATTTTGTTTGCTTTTTTGTTTTTAGAGTGGATACAGTTTTTCGAATAAACATCTGAAAGGATGAAAAAGGAAACTTTCTTACATTGTAAACCTTATTAAAACGAACCACTGATATCGCTCAAGTTTGCAGTTATTTTCTTCTCTATTTTTCGAAAGAAAGATTTGAAAACACCTTCCATAATTGAACATTAATGACACCGAACTTGAAATGTCTAAGCAGGTGTTCGTCTCTTATTTGAGCCGAATGAACGCATCATTTCCTGTCTCTAATTAACAATCTCTTCGCATTCTACCAAAATCTAGAAAAACGAAAAACTCTCAAATTTAAAGATGGAGTCCTACTGATTTACGACAGTTCTAGAAATTGACCCGCAAAAGGAACAGAATAGAAAGCGATTGTATTTTGGCAAGGGGCGGTCCTTTTGACACGGTACAACATGTCGAGATTTTAAGCCCTAACTAATCCGCGATTTTGCATTGAGAAATTACCCCTAACAGCAGGGAGCCCTTCGCTTGAGTTTAATGTTAATTGTAGACAGATTGCTAATATAAAATTGATGGATTAGCTGCAGTAAAAGTAACAAAAGGCCTTTGGTTGTAGCTCCATCATCCCTGGTCATACTTATGAATGTGATATACAAAGGGCATTTATACCTTTCGGTCAAGATTGTGATGAAATTTGTTTTTAATCAAACTAGTATTTGTAATCATACCATTACATTTCAATCATACCATTGCAAATGAAATTTGCTTGTAAAAACTAACAATAGAGGCTGCCGTTGTTCCAATTCAGCTGGATGGACGGATCACTATACATTTCAGAAATATTGAGAAATTTCATTTCAATATAGCTTTATATTTTCAGCAGCTTTTAAATAGAAACTTGAATTCTGCGTCAAATTGAAATATTTTTTAGCCATCATAAATAAACAATAATAAAAACGGTGCTTATAAAGCGCTTACCACCGAAGTCTCTAAAACGTTATGTAATCTTTGGTCTGGTAAAAATGCACTGCTTTGTTATATATACTCGTAGCTTAAAAATCTGACTGGTCCGCATATTCTTGCCCGAGCTGAAAATAAGATTTATAGACCTCATAATGTGCATAAAATGTAAAGGTAATTGGGTGACATCACATTACTTTTCATGATGGTTCTGCATGGGCCTACATCTTAAAGGCACCATCTAAATTATGCAATCATTATAGTATTGCACAAATTAGCCATCACTATTTCTTATAGGAATTAAAGATCAACTCGGGACCCGATTAACGCATGTCATTAAAATGACATTCGTAGACAAAATGCACCTTTCCTCACGTTATAGTGAACAAAGTAGCCTGATGATGATAAACGCCCCCCCCCCCAAAAAAAGGCACAAATTCCCCTTCTATTACCCATTAGGGTTACAACTTACTTTCCAATATATTTGATCATCACTGATAAAATTACAAATTTATTCGAGACAAATCAAAAACATTATGCCCGAATCTACTTCAGGATAATTTTTCGGAAATATCAGATGACATCTTTAACCTCGTTTAAGACAGAGTCTTACATAAACAATGGATTACCTTTTGTTCGGCATGACGGTATAAGAGTAACGAGCGAAATAAATATCACTCATTAAAGATGGCGCCTCAGAGCAGAGGTCGAGATGGTTCGCCCTAATTTCTTGGGTCAAATGACGCAACAGAAGAAATATGAATGAGACTGGAATCATATCTGTACCTGTAAAGTGACTTAGAGCATGGACCTACTACGCTTAGAGAGAGTATCGTGGGTTAGGGTTTGTGCTAGAAAGGGTTCCAGTCTTTCTATTTCATGACAGTGTTTCAATACTGGCTTGATACAGTCGTTTCTGCCAAATGGGGCAGACATTATTCTCAGGATCAAACATGGAGGTCTGGGAGTATTCGGATGTGGGGTAGGGTGTTAGAAAGGGTCATATCAATATTATCAGGTCCATGGTCATATCATCTCCTTTTGCGTTGCCCCTCTCCTTTCTTCCCATTTCTCGATCGTTTCCTGTTGTGATACTTTCTTTTTTTAGGGGGAGGGGGGCTACAAGTGGGTCTCTGTCCCTCTCGTAGCTACAACAATGCTGTACAATACCGACAAATCTGTAACAGAAAAAAAAGGATATTTCATACAACAGTTCTCAAATTTCTATCTAACAGTCTAACAGGCCTACTGGAGTTAACATTCCTAAATAATGAGCAAGAAGAGAGTTCAAAACAATGAGCCTCTTGCTTTTATCTTTCTAATAATTATGCTCTATTCTTAAAACATAAAATAAACTGTTTGAAGTGTTATGGATATTACTAGGACCAGTCCTTTGCTTACACTCATAGAACACTAGTGGTTGGTCAAAAAAAATAAGAGGGAAGGGCATTGTTAATTTAGATTCCATCCACCTAGTAAGTAGTAAGATCGTTGCCCCCCGCCCTATGATTTCATAGCCCCTCAATGTCTCGACCCACGTGCGCCACTGTATTATCCAGTCATACTTTGGCCGGGGGCAGGGGGTCCAAAGGGCAACCCCCCCCCCCACTTCACACATCTTGGATGAATAAATATACAGTGGAGGATCAAGGAATATCTGGGCGTGGGGGGGGGGTGCCATTTGTACCTCCTGCCCCCCCCCCCCACTGCACTATAGGCCTAATATATTAGTTTGGTATATTCTGAACAGCGTCCTGGCAGTCAAAATGTTGCCGCGCGCGCTGCAGGTATAGTCTGCAGGCACGCACTCCAATTTGACACTTTACTACAATTCCTAAATAAAAACACCTTGCCCTTGAGCAGAGCCTGGCTTTGTTATTCCTAGCCTGTCAAGTACGGGGCAGCTAAACTACAAAGCCTATGCAGTATGCCGTCATCATAGTCTCACCGTGCAGACACTGTAATGTACATCGATTGACGAGAACCTGTGCCTAGCAGTCCGTCTCTCATGTCTGCTGTGTGCCGAATCTCCCTCGTGCTCTAACCAGCTGCGTACCATTGATTTATGGCGACAACACTTGGTCCCATTTGCGGCTTTGGATCAGTGAAGAGAGGGTTGCACTTTCTACCCCTCAACCAAGACCATTAACGTTTCTTCACCCACTGGGTACCAGCCCAGAATTTGGCTGAAAACTGGAATAAAATCTACATCGTCGACAGGGAGACGTCTCTCAAATAAATTCGATTTCTTTCTTTACCGCGCTTTTAGCTTTAGATTTAGTTGTTGGAGGATATAACGAAATCAGACGATAAGGTCCGTGGTTTATATCCAAAACTAAAAAATAGGATCAACGTTTAATTGAGAACCTCTTCCCAGGACCTGGTGGCTGATAAATTTGACGCTGATTATTTCGTAATCCAACTTTTGTGCCACGTTTATTTAAATGAATTGTGGATGCGACAGCTTTATTTCTTGGAGATCAGATTCTAAGCACGACTGAATTGGGAAGTATTTATAGCCAAGATTGAGCCAGCGCCTCGCAAGAATTTTCTGAAAGGATTGATCATTGGACATCATTGATTTGTCACTTTTATGACTAAATTTGCAATCCAATTTTTGATTTTTGTTCAGCTACCAACCAAGATCTTTGAATTATATTTTCAAAAGTAGAAGAAATGCCGAAGCGGAAAGTTCACGACGCCTTCTCGAAAAGCGAAGGCGGCCGAGGCGTTGATTCCGACAGCGAGAGTTCCTCGTCAACAGACCGCTCCGACCCGGGAGGCTATCGCCGAGTCTCCGGCGATCGTCCCCTTCTACCATCCGCCAACAACTACAACATGAACATGGACTCCAACATCACCTACGAGCTTGACTCTCAGGGTATCCCTCGGCAGCGCGGTGCCGCCAACGCCCGGGAGCGCGACCGGACTCATAGCGTCAACAGCGCCTTCGTGCAGTTACGAGATCTTATCCCCACTGAACCCAGGGATCGAAAACTTTCTAAAATCGAGACCCTAAGGTTAGCGACAAGTTATATCAACCATTTAGGTACTCTTCTTCTCGTCGGGGATGAGGAGATTGAACAGCCGTGCATGCATAGGGCCATGCTCCGACCTGGTAGCGAGGCAGGCCCTAGGATTATCTGTACCTTCTGCCTGCAGAATCATATGAGCAATATGAGGAACAGAGCTGTCATGAACGTACACCATCAGGTAACATTTCCCATTATTCACGATATTTTTCCTCAAAAATATATTTTAAAGAAACTGAAATGATTATTATACGAAAATGTGTTTTTTTTTAATCGAAGTAGTACAGTACTAGTAGGCCTATATGAACAGATATTACTTCATTATTCCGCGCAATTTTTGAACTGTTTTGGGTTTGATGCCTGTATACATCTAACAATCCGTATACGAGCAAGTCTAACTCTTTCGAAACATACTCGCCGTGGGATTTTTTTCTCATTTTGTGGATAAAACGATCAACGAGTTTCACTCTATTGATTTAAAAACATAGGTTCATGTAGTGTGTACCAACAAATAATAAGCTTAGTAACACAATGAATGAGAACGAAGGAACTAAACCAACATATTCGATGTCAAATGATGCTTCAAATATGCTGTCTCCTGATCTTACATTAACTCATTGTAGCGTTGCATAATTATCTATGATCAAGAAATTATAGGCTATCTGCAACTGAATGACCCTTGATTCGTTTTCCTAAAAGAAATTCGTCTAATTCTGAAATTATGCTTTAGTTGTATACATGGATAGTAGAAAACACAGAATATATTTGAGATGTATTTACTGAAGTTTTTCACTGCATTTTGTAATAAAATAAAAACAATGAACAAAAACAATCAAACAAAAACATATGTATATAAATAAACCCCTCTATATCCAGCATCTATAACAAAATATATCAAGGCATTTCCGTCTCGCAGTTCTCATTTAGTTTCGGGTACATGAAAACTAGGTCTTTTACGGACAGTGGCATCGTTCCCTTCTGTTGGGGGGGGGGGGGGGGGGGGGTGGCACCAACAGTGGCCTGTTTCATGGGGGGATTTTTTTCTTTTCTTTCTCGTTTATGAATAGCTGAAATGAAATACGTAATGTAGTATTATTTATAGTCCCCAAAAGTAGTGGGAAATGCACTATCCACGCCGGGCGCTGTTTTGGAGTTCCCCGGTGGATGTTATTCTAATTTTCTACTTCTCAATATTATTATCTACTTGTGTATCAATTCATTTATGAATTCCGAGATTACTCTGTCAAGGTGACTCGTGTTCCCTTCACGTATTGATAAAAACATTAATTGGGAATTGCATTTATTATGATTCAAATAGGAATATAAATATATAGGATCATACTCCCAAATCTCTTCCGATACTGAGCAAAGATTTTGCTTCCCCAAACCTCCTTTTTAAAACATAATGATTTACTAGTTTGATTTTTATTTCCAATTTTCCTATCATTGTATTTTTGTATCAACAAATTTACTTTATTACGATTTTGCTGCAGTAAAGTCACTGGCGTAGCGAAAGTCCAATAGAATGTGGTATTGATGCGGGGGGGGGGGGCGTCTGAAGGGTTAGGTGATGATATGCGATAGAACCATGCGGTAGTGTGGAACGGTGTAAACTGTAAAGGGGGAGGGGGCGTGGCGTCTTTTCCTCTCTTGTACAAATTGCCTTCCGCCTTCGACCCCCCCCCCCATTTTGCTCTCTTTCACCCCTTTTCCTTATTCGATAAAGGCCATGTGCCCCGTACGCCGCGCCACTGCCTGTTGTAATTGTACAACAATTATATTGGGTTCATTAAATCATTTGCTTCGAAATGGTTCCTTCGATGCACTTTTTTAAATATTGTTATTATTTCTTTTCGATTTTAATTCGTTCTAGTTGTATCTAAACAGAAACATGTTTCAATAAATTCCGATCTTATTCCCATTTATACTGGTTCATTGGCTTCGAAATAGTTCATTCAGGATTCATAGCAATGTTTTGGGATTGTATCCTGGTCCAATGGAATGCGATTACTCAGATCAAGAATGGGTGATTGCTATTGAAACTGGCCCGCTGCAATTGTCGGCTTCCGTTGCGATGCTGGCCTTGCCTCCATGGCGTCAAGTATGGAGGTGACAATAGATTAAAACATCTAGAGAATCTTGACCTGACAGTGAGTAGGTCCGTGTACTTTAAAAGTATAGACAAGTTTTGGAAACGCCCCCCCCCCCTCTCAAAAATGAAATGGAAGCTCTTATTACAATCATGTGAAAGAATATGTTTTTACTAATACGTGATGATACACATTTTGTGAAGCCTTCTACTAGTACTAATGAATATATTTGGTAAATTATCATATCTATCCGGCCTGGATAGATATCGCGTAGTCCCATATACATCTTTCTGTGTACAGTGCTTGTAACTTTACCAAGACTGGGTCAAATTTCTTATCATTTTGATAATTCCAGAATCTTGCGGTACACACCAATACTTATGCTAGAGGATCAATCAATTCTGATCGATTCCACAACGTTTCTTTCACAATGCAATCGCATGACCAGAACTGGTCTTTACCTTTGAGGTCCAGCTATTACCCCATTTAGAACTTGTTGGGCCATATTGTGAGGAGTTATCCATTTCGTGATCACAATCATGAGAGTCCACGATTGATCTAAAACACTCGGGTGAGAATAGCTAATGTCCAGATAATTCTCTTTCAAATTTTCTTTTAAGAAAACCCTTTCACAGTGTTCCTTTATCGTATAATATCATACACAAACAAACTTAGGCCTATATCACATAATCTTGCAGAGTTTCATACTTACATCAAAAGAGCCTGCTTTATACGGTTTACTACATTAATGCGGTAGGGTGTATGCAAACCCAGCATGCCCATGGTCCATAGTCCTGCTGTTGTGTCCATTCAATTTTGCCACCCACAACTCCAAGGGAGTTTAAAGATTATGAGTAACACAGTCAGAGAATAACGTTCAGATATTTATTCATATCATAATAGATATCAATGTTCAGAAAATGTACTTTGGAAGATAAGACGAGTCCATGGACAGATGGAACTCAATGCAAGTCTCTAGTTTTGTTTTAGACCATGTGGTTTAACAGAACTCCAGCAGAAGAGCTCATGGTATGATATTTATATCAAAAGACATGCAAACTTCCAGAAAGTACAAATCTTAGAAAAGATCGATATTATTGACGGCTGTCTTTCAAAGTGGACTAGAGAACTCCTTTAGCTTTTCCAACAGTGACCAAAGAAATCATTATTCAGGGCTATATGTTCCCTTTTTCCCTGTTTATTTTATACAAGCGTACTGCAATATGAAGAAGAAAAAAAGAATGAATAAGTGAGAAAAAATAGATTTCAAAATATAATCCCAACTGGAATCATCCGAACTATTTGCTGTTGTTTTGGTCAAAACGTTGTCCTAGGGATTCTATGATTATGTAACACTTGATGCTGTAAGTGTTTCCGCCGCCTAACCGCAAATACAGGTATAATATCCTCATTATCGGCACCGCTTTGTAGTTCTGGGGTCTTTAATCAAAAGTGCGTAAAACAGAAGGAAACGGATGTTTTCGGTAGTCGGTAAATGATAATTGATACCCTGCATTAAAGATAAACTCCAGTACTGGTAAAAAAAAAAAAATTAATTCTCACAGAATCAAACGAAACTTACACTGAATGTTCAAGATTACAAATAAATGACATGTGCCAAACAATTTTGGAAGAAAATGTATACTGGCTGAGTAATGAGCATAGAAAGACAAGGAAACCAAGGTAGTACCATCCCCGACACGATGTGTGTTGTCCCATATATAGCTTTCTATGTGAGTGTTTGTTACTTTACCAAGACTCGGTCAAATTTATTATGATTTTGATGACTCCAGAACCTTGCAGTGCACACCAATACTTACATGCTACATGATCAACTGTTTCTGATCCTTTCACACCTTTTCTTTCACAATGCAATCGCATTACCAGTACTAAAGTTTAGCTTTAACTTAGTACCTAATGATGTTGCTATTTCCGTTTACAGAGGCACAGATTTTTGTACACTATACTAGTTGGGGGAAAACATGACCACGTCGACAGACGTCTATTCTCTTCGTAAATAGAAAACATGAAGTTCTGTAACTATAGCTTTTACCCTTATCTCCCTGGTCGCTTTGACAATGACTCTGAAATAAATAGTCAGAGCTCCGATAGACCTGCAGAAATTGCTAAAGTTTATCTCGGACAATTTCTGTTCTATTTTTTAAAGACGTTTTTGCAATTGATAGTTAGGATGGTGGGTGAATACAACTACTGAAGGGGCACTGTGATGTTGGGGTAGGGGGAGTGACATTGATCTTACTACGTAGATAAACATGATCAGCGAGAAAGGACCGAACCTTCTCCTTTTTCATTTCGCCTTCCGTCTGTCGCTTTATTTTCCCATCTTACTTTTCATCCCCTCTTTTGTTTTCAGTTTGATATAAAGGGCAAGTGCCCCCACTCCAGAGCTACTCCACTTATGCCCCTTATTTGTCCACGTACACAAGCATTTAGTGTGAACAAGACAAGTGACATTGGTAGACGCCGCCCCCCCCCTAACTGGAGATGCAAGCAATTTTCCATTGTCCATACGACCATAATTATGCCATACAAGGCTTGTAGTGACTGTAGATGCTATAGAAATGACTTTCAGTGACAAACATTTAGGCTTCTTTCACCCCCCCCCCCATTATGGGCACCGAGCAGGGGCCCCCACTCCGGAGCTACGCCACTGATACTCCTGCCTTGTAAGGCCTGACGTTAGGATAGGTGATAATCGAAATGACTATGTCATCAAGGACACATATTCAGGCTTCTTTCGGTCCGTGGATCGCATTTAGTAAGTCCAACGTTTCGCCGCAGATAGGATCTGATCCGGTCAAATTAACCAATTAAAGATCCGCCATTGGAACATGTCATCGGGTCCTCATTTAACATGAGGACCACAACATGCACCACTGTGCTACTGACATAAGGTTCTTAATCCACTCCAGGGCATTTCACACTGTGCTTTTATGAATGGAGGAAGGTGTGTAAACGGATTGGCACGTACCTCTAAACCAGATTGTCAATTTTCTGGTTGCTGAATTTTGCGAGCTCCAGAAGCGAGCGAGCAAACTTGTCGACACTTTCTTGTATTGAAAAACATTTA